AAAGGCTACAAATGAAAAGAGAATTACTGAAATAATTAAAATAGAGACAATTGAAATACTTGACCACATTAAAAGATATAACACGCTTAAAAAAAAAACATACTGACGGGAAATGTCGACGGCAAGAGCAGGAGGTGTGCAATGATACAAGTGGGGGGACAACATCAAGAGATGACAAGACGCAGTCTGAGAGCGTGCACTACCAGGACAAAGAGACAGAGCGTGTTAGAGATCCGTTGCAACTAACCTTCACTGTGGAGACGGCACCTGATTGATTGATTGATTTATTGATTGATTGAATAATCAATCAGCTACAAGAGACAGACAAATTCAGACTTACCCATCAACAACCAACACAGTCGGCAACGAATCTGAACAAATCTACCTACAAACCAATGACAGGTGACAGCAAGTTAACAAACCGACTAATAGGCCAGAAATTGGCAAAAGATTATTCAGACTTACCGGCCAATAGAAAACCACAAGCGAAAAAAAATAAAATTCTGGTAAACATGACTGAGTGTTCTTCTACTTCTGCTTGTTCTAGACTTGCTACCTGGTCTCGACAAATCACAATGTACCGTACCGACTGACGCACTCACTAGTTCTCACTTTTATACCTTACAGAAAAATACAGTGACATTTACGCGTTGCATTTTGCACAAAGAGATTATAAATAATTTGACGTATTTTGTATAGTTATTCATACGTTAATCAAAGAAGTTTTAACCTCGATAATATCTGCATACTAGCCCAATTATGCCAGATTTCTGCTGTAATAATTCGCTGCCATTTTCTAGAATTTGACTCGTTCATGCAGCTGTTTGAGGAATGGTTGGAACGGTTTAAATTGTATTATTATGACTAAAAAATATTGTTTTTTTTTGTTTATCACATGCCAAAGCTGTTTGTGTTTTTAAAGAGCTAAATATAAAGCTTAATACTGTACTTCTAAAAGACCAAAAATTTAAAGGGAAAAGAAATTGAGAATAGCTGAGGTAGCGTTATTAAAATATACACAATTAGGAAATGAAAACTTTAAAATCATGTTTTAAGTTCTCTCTCGGTTAACAGTTCCTGTCATCACTTCCCCCCAGTACCACCGACAACTCCTTTCTCCCCCTCTAAAGGATTTGAAATTCATCACTTGACTATTTTTTTTTTTTTTTGTATTGGCCTTGACATCCGTGTCCACTAAGACTAAAATGAGTAGCAGGAATTGTAATGCGAAGTAAATGCGTCCATTGTAATATTTATGACATCACCCAAAGAGTACCAGTATTACTACTACCACCACACCACCACCACCAGCAGCACCACAACTAAAAAACTGTCACTACTGCATGTTTCACCACCTTTTTAGGTTGGAGTAGACAGGGGGTCATGAACAAGAGTATAAAGGGTCACATGGCTGGTACTGTCGTCACGGACTGTTCAGGATAGGATATTTAATTTTGCCATCTTACCGGGGGTGGAACCTGGGTCTCCCACATGACAGCCCGACGATGTTACCACACGGCCAACCACAAGTACTACTATTCTGTTACTACTACCACTGCTGCTAATTTGGCGATGAGTCTTGCGGGCAATGCAGTTACTGTGAATTCGCGGACTTAGACAGTAGTGATGTCATTATTTCAAGTGAGATGCATATCGCCAAGAAGATCGTGTCGAGGGAGGTGGGTATAGAAGCGCAGCCTGGAGCAGCCAGACAATAATATTTCACAAAGAGCAAGAATTGTTTGATAAATTCGCTACAGAACGGGCGTCATTAGTGGATTTGTGCTTGTGAAGTTATCGAGGAAAAGATCTGAGAACCTACGGATCTGTCCGGAATGCTGTGACGATAGTCCTCACTAATCAGTAATCTTTCAGTTCTATGTCTTTTCATTCCCATACAGTCTTTCAACAACTCACGTTTTATTCCCACAACTTTTAATTCCTACTTGTTTTTATTCCTATATCTTTACATGTCCAAACAATTCGACTAATAATCTCCTTGTGAGATGCAATTTTTTTTTATTATGTGAAGCGCCACCCGGGCTTTTGCTGGGGCCCTAAGAATATTCGGACCATAAATGTGGCCAAACTGCTAAAACGGGTCTCTGGGACCTCTCCACGGGTGATCCTCATCCGCATGGTGACACTTTGTGTCACCGAGTGTTTATCGCTTGTGTGATGTCCTGGTGAAAGAGAGAGAGAGAGAGAGAAAGAGAGAGAGAAAGAGAAAGAGAGAGAGAGAAAGAGAGAGAGAAAGAAAGAGAGAGAGAGAGAGAGAGAGAGAGAGAGAGAGAGAGAGAGAGAGAGAGAGAGAGAGAATGTCAGATGATAATACGTGACTATGACGGCTTGTTTGATTCTTATCTCAATCTTTCTTTCTATTCTGCCATCATATGTAAAGATGCTCCCCACATGTTTGTTTGTTTAGTATCCAGAAGCCATGAGTTGTTAACCCTTAGGTTCGGTATTATGGATATCGCAACCTTTCGACCTTGATTCCATTGTAAATACCGTAAATCTGGGAGAAATGTGGTTTTTCTGCCTACCCCCGGGAGTGAACCCGGACCACAAGGAGTTCGTCACCCGGTCTCCGCGCAATCCGGTTTAGCCAACTACGCTAGTTAGCCCGGCTCCCCGCATGTTTAAAGTATTGAACTTGTTTTAAACTTTGCTCTTGTATCTTTATGTCAGATGTTTTAAAATATTTGGATATACGCCTGATTTCTGTTTTTCAGTTTTTTTGGGGGGGTTTTCATTTCATGTTTGAGGCAGCTGTTGTATAGTTGGTTTATGTGGTCCAGTTGCTGATTAACTTGATTGTGGAACAGGCGATGGTCGTCGGCGAATAGGAGTTCGTTGGAATTTTCCTTTTATCCCCATTTGGTGGCATTTACTGATATTGTCCAGGAATGTGATAAAAATCAATTGTGATAAATCACATCGGCGTCTTACTTCAGTAAACCAATCTGTCAGGCCAGTTTTTGCTCTGATGGCACTTTTATTGTCACTATAGGTGGCCTCTTGTGCAATCTTACAAACAATGTTTCTTTTATTCTTTACTTTTCTAATAGTTTCCAAAGAAACAGTGTAGTCGTGAACCAAACGTTGCAACCTTGAACGATCCCAGTACCTTCAATAGCCCGAGACGATGACTTGACCAACGATCCCAGTACCTTCAAAGCCCGAGACGATGGCTTGACCAACGATCCCAGTACCTTCAAAGCCCGAGACGACTTGACAGAGCCCGAGACGATGGCTTGACCAACGATCCCAGTACCTTCAGAGCCCGAGACGATGGCTTGACCAACGATCCCAGTACCTTCATAGCCCGAGACGATGGCTTGACCAACGATCCCAGTACCTTCAGAGCCTGAGACGATGGCTTGACCAATCCTCGTGGGAAATATGTGCAGTGAGACCAGCTCGAGTGACTGATGGCTCAGACCAATGATCCCAGTACCTTTAATTATGTGTAAACATCAATTTCACTGAGAATAACAACTTTTCAGGTGAAAAAAACAACAACAATAGACACACAATCATGATCAACAGTTTGAAAGTTTTGGCTCGAAATCCTTCATCAGCATATGACACATACGGGCAATGGTACAACTACATATATGAATAAATAAAATTACATGACTTTTCGATGAACCATTTCTCAGTCTCCACCAATGCTTGAGCAGCAAAGCGTATTCCAGTCTTTCAGCAGCCCGAGCTTATTCTCTTGACCAGCGAAGCCCAGTATTCTCTTGAGCAGCAAAGCTTATTCTCTTGAGCAGCAAAGCTATTCTCTTCAGAGCCAAAGCTTATTCTCTTGAGCAGACAAAGCTTATTCTCTTGAGCAGCAAAGCTGTATTCTTCTTGAGCAGCAAAGCTTACGATGGCTCTTGAGCAGCAAAGCTTATTCTCCTTGAGAGCAGCAAAGCGATTCTCTTGAGCAGCAAAGCGATTCTCTTGAGCAGCAAAGCTTATTCTCTTGAGCACGCAAAGCTTATTCTCTTGAGCAGCAAAGCTTATTCTCTTGAGAGCAGCAAAGCGATTCTCTTGAGCAGCAAAGCTTATTCAGTCATCCCCTTGAGCAATAAAGCGTTATTCTCTTGAGCAGCAAAGCTTATTCTCTTGAGCAGCAAAGCTTATTCTCTTGAGCAGCAAAGCGTATTCTCTTGAGCAGCAAAGCTTATTCTCTTGAGCAGCAAAGCTTATTCTCTTGAGCAGCAAAGCTTATTCTCTTGAGCAGCAAAGCGTATTCTCTTGAGCAGCAAAGCTTATTCTCTTGAGAAGCAGCAAAGCGATTCACAAAGCAGCAAAGCTTATTCTCTTGAGCAGCAAAGCGTATTCTCTTGAGCAGCAAAGCTTATTCTCTTGAGCAGCAAAGCGTATTCTCTTGAGCAGCAAAGCCTATTCTCTTGAGCAGGAAAGCCTATTCTCTTGAGCAGGAAAGCGTATTCTCAGCAGTCGTCGCTTGAGTCAAGATATTAAACAACAAATGACACATGAAGTAGGGTCAGGTAAACAGGAATGAAAGATTTCAGTGAAGGGACGTAATTCGAGTACCATTCCGATAAAGCTGTGATGGGCATTACGATCGCTTGGAGAAGGAGAACCAAAAACACAGAAAAATAAGTGGAAGATTAACATCATGTAGCAGGTCGTTTGCAGAACGTCGCTCTCATCACGGTCTGCCTGAAAGAAACTCGGTCTCTCGCCAGCTCTCCCGCCTCGTGCACTCTGTTACTCAACGTGTCACGTATATCCTCTGCCCATCTTTATGACGGTCGGCCCCTGAAAGCCTCCTCTGTTACCCTGCCTTCTGCTTTATTTGTTCCCAGTACGCTGTAGCGCTTTACACGACCAAAATTTTCAGCTTCCTGTACAAGATGCTGTTTACCAGCCAATCGTCCTTGATGTTCAGATCTTTTAGGATGTTAGTATTTATTTTCTTCTTTGTCCATGGTATTCTCATAATCTTTATGTAGCATTTCAGATCAAAAGTCACAATGTCAAGCGCAGACCTGACCTGGCTGATCATCAGAAACAACTCTTCTACACTTTTGAAGAGGAGTAGACAGTACATGAGTCTGGAACCCAACAATTTGAAGGGTCGCAACTCTTTCCGCACTGATAAACTGATTCTTTCTAGACTGATTCACCGCAAGACAGTTGTCATTGAGCCAATTAAGGATGGCAAGGGTGTCGTCTTGGTGACTCGTAAAAGCAAGGGTCTTCGCAAATGTGGTCAGCATCACGCCGGTCGCCTCTACTTCCCGGGACTGCACCTGGTACCCACTCAAGGCTGAGTCGACCTGGGAGCCAAGGTCATTTTTTAAGAAAAGTCAGGCACCGCCAGGGAGCGAATCCACGACCTTCCGATCCACGGCGCGGGTCTAGCCGCTCTGTACGGCGACTCAAGAAGAAGAAGATATACAACATTATATTTTAACACAAAAAAAGAGGGGGGCATAAATTCATTACACATTATTTGTGAGTGAAGGAGTTAAACTATCGATTTGCTTCAGACATGTCTTTATAAGCTATTCCAACACACTCGTGAAAGTTATCTAGCGCTCATTACGAGCCTCTGTTACAACTACTGCGTAGGAATGAAAACAGAGCACTGTTTCTTTTAGCGAAAGCACTAATTACCATAAGCCGCCAAGGTATAGCAACTAGATGCACGCCTGCGGATCGAAAGGTTGTGGTTTCGGTTTCTGACGGATCCGGATTTTTTTTTCAAAAATGACATTGGCTCCCTGGTCCACCCAGCCTTGAGTGGGTACCAGGTCTAGTCCTGGAAAGTAAAGGCGGCCACATCACCCAACGAGTGCAAATTGGTCTATAAAACAAGTCTTGACCTATATGCTTGGTATATCTGAACGTGTGGAAAACGGTTCAGTAGATCTAATTATTATATCCCTGTGATTTGAAAATGTGCATTCGGATGAGTAAAAACTGGTGTCATACTGGTGTATATATGTACATGGGGGTAGCACAAAGGAAACAACATAACCGGAACAATAACCAGCGTCCATTTGATGTCACATTTATATAGCATTGCGATGGGTGTAAGAGCAAATAGACACATTAGCTTAATTATATACTTTTAGGAATACTAAACTGTTGGTTCATTACGAATCTCTTACGCTAACATGATTTTGTGACCTGGGAGTAAGGCTAGATAAAGCACGTCTATGCTGTCTTTGAGGTCAAGACAATAGACATAGCCAGCTTCTCATGGGATCAATCAGTAGAGGTACACTAGGGATGGCTGTTGCATGGGAGAACCTAGGCTTCAGATGAGGAAAGTGTATCTTTGAAAGAAAGAGACTACTTTGTTTTTTCCTAGAAGAGACAACTAATGTCTGTGAACTTGAGTTTCGTAACACTTGTATGAAGAAAAAGAAACTGAGCAAGAGGTGCAAAAAGAGTAGGGAAGCAGCAACAGCAGCAGCAGCAGCAGAAGAAGAAGAAGAAGAAGAAGAAGAAGAAGAAGAAGAAGAAGAAGCAGCAACAGCAGCAACAACAGCAGGAAGAGGAGGACAAGAAAGAAGAAGAAGAAGAAGATGATGAAGAATAAGAAGAAGAAGAAGAAGAAGAAGAAGAAGAAGAAGAAGAAGAAGAAGAAGAAGAAGAAGAAGAAGAAGAAGAAGAAGAAGAAGAAGAAGAAGAAGAAGAAGAAGAAGAAAAAGACGACGACGAAGAAGAAGAAGAAGAAGAGGATAAGTATAAGCAGTGTTTCCGTTCTAACGTTCAACGCCCTACTTACCTAGATCTTAAAACGAAATATTTACAAGGTTCACCATATCTTAACTGTGTTTTGTTTTACCTGTTTACTGGTTCTTTGACATCCCCCCCCCCCACCCTTCCCTCCCCCCCCCGCCTGTCCTCTCCATGCTGATCAAAACTACATTGATGACCTCTGATATCGAATATTACAAACAATTATTAATCTACCATCAATAAATGTCGCTCCTCACTCTCCAAAACTGGCTTCTTGAAAACTGACTGTTCCTCACGAACAATGAATGAAGTCAGATTCGAGTCATGAGAAGATATGCGGAACACTGTCACTGATCTGTACTCTACTCCTAAAGTTTTTCTACAACAGAACCAACCACGACAAAGACTGCTGCCACTGCTGCTGCTGCTGCTGCTGCTGCTACTGCTTGTTACTGCTGCTGCTGCTACTACTACTAATTATTAAGCTTCTGTACTACCAACAACACTGTCATAACTACCAACACTACTACCACTGTCACCCTTAACGTTCATCGGCTGTAAACTCTGGCGGAAAGTTATGGTTGCTCGTTCACTTCTGGACTTTGGTGTTGTTCCAGAACTTGCTTTGTGTGTACACATCCATTTTTTTCCCGATCTCGCTTACTTTTATTCATAATTTTAGTTCCTCGCTTCTCAAACATATTCGCTCCGACTTCAAACACAGTTTAAAAAAATTATGCAACAGGCAGTCAATATTTGTCAGTCATGTCAGTGCAAGAGATTTCAAGATTTGCCTTTTTGACCCGTTCCTCCTCAGACGCTCTGCTCTTAACAAGTCTGCCTATGGTTCCGTCGCCCAGTTACTCAGGAGAGGGCATGGCGCGACACTGTGAGCTGCGGATTATATTTGGAATGCTTCTCGACTGTGCTAAATTTGTTTTTGTTTTGGGACACTGCATTTTCAGAAAATAGCGAATGACTTTTTTGTCATGATGGTGCCCTACTTCAAGTAATGATCTGTTGTAACTACTGTTTCTTCTTTCTTCTTCTTCTGCCTTGCTATCCCCCAATGGAGCATAGGCCCTCAACCAACTCACGCCAAGTCGTTCTATCCTTCGCCATTGCATGGAGCTCTCCCCATGTCCTCCCCATCTTTCTAACTTCATTCTCCAGCGCTCTTCTCCATGTGTTTTTGGCCTTCCTTTATTCCTATGCCCCTGTGGGTTCCAATGCAAAGACATTCTAGTTATGCTGCTCTCCTGTTTTCTCAGTGTGTGTCCTATCCAACGCCAGCGTCTTTTCCTCACCTCTTGGTCCACTGGAGCCTGTTTAGTTCTCTCTCAAAGTTCTACATTAGTTATTCTATCATACCATTTAATTCCCTCTATTCTGCGCAGGCACCAGTTAATGAATGTCTGTAATTTATTAGTAACTGTCTTAGTTGTTCTCCATGTTTCCGCCCCATACAACAGTAATGATTTGACATCAGAATTAAAAATTTTTAGTTTAGTATTTCTTTTAATTTCTTTTGACCTTCACAAATTCCCTAGTGCTATGAAAGCCCCTCTTGCCTTTTGTATTCTTATTTTAATATCTCTATCAGTTCCTCCATCTTTATCTACATTACTGCCTAAATAGGTGTACGACTCCACGACATGGAGTGGGGTGCCATTAAGAGAAACAAAATTATTATTTGCCCTGTTTATTCTCATTATTTCTGTCTGTCTGTCTGTCTGTCTGTCTGTCTGTCTGTCTGTCTGTCTGTCTGTCTGTCTGTCTGTCTGTCTGTCTGTCTGTCTGTCTGTCTGTCTGTCTGTCTGTCTGTCTGTCTGTCTGTCTGTCTGTCTGTCTGTCTGTCTGTCTGTCTGTCTGTCTGTCTGTCTGTCTGTCTGTCTGTCTGTCTGTCTGTCTGTCTGTCTGTCTGTCTGTCTGTCTGTCTGTCTGGTCTGTCTGTCTGTCTGTCTGTCTGTCTGTCTGTCTGTCTGCCTGTCTGTCTGTCTGTCTGTCTGTCTGTCTGCCTGTCTGTCTGTCTGTCTGTCTGTCTGTCTGCCTGTCTGTCTGTCTGTCTGTCTGTCTGTCTGTCTGTCTGTCTGTCTGTCTGTCTGTCTGTCTGTCTGTCTGTCTGTCTGTCTGTCTGTCTGTCTGTCTGTCTGTCTGTCTGTCTGTCTGTCTGTCTGCCTGTCTGTCTGTCTGTCTGTCTGTCTGTCTGTCATCAGTTTCCACTTCTGCCGTTATGCGTTGTGTTGAGGAAGGGTTTGCGATCTATTGCTTGATGGGCAGCATTGGTTTTTGCGATTCCGTATTGATGTATCTATCTGTAATAATGGGAAGCTTTTTAAAGAACTTAACAAAATATGGAACACTAAATTGTTAAATTTTAAAACCGTCGGAGAACCATTGATGTCGTCGGGAAGAAAAGTTAAACGTACTCGAACACAAATGCCTGAGAAAAACGTTGAACATAAAATGGGATTAATTCAAGAATGTTAAAAAAAAAAAAAAAAAAAAAAAGAGAACTAGCCAACAACTGGTAACAACAGTTCTAAGCCAAAAGAAGATAGCACTGTACTGGACACATTCTGAGAAGAAATCGAGCAGGGAATCGCCAGACAGCACAACTATTAGAAATAACGAGATTTGTGAAGCCAGGAGGAACAAAACAAAAAACCCTTCTTCTTCTGCGTTCGACATCAGTCATGCTAGACATTGAGTCCCGTCTGGGTCACAAATAGGATTGTGCGTTTAAGGTCGCCCCCCATCCCCCATAGTTTCTCTTTCAATGTGGCTCCCTTGGGCCAGATCCACAGTCTTTGCTGGGAGAGGTTAGGGCAGTGCTGTAGTATGTGCCCAGGGGTCTGTCTTTCTGCTCCACAATCACAGGCAGCAGATTCTTTTATGCCTATCCTGTACAGGTGTGCTCGAAGACCACAGTGTCCAGTCCGAAGTCTAAACATTGTTGTTTGTTCTTTCTTGTTGAGTTTGTTTATGTTGTCACTCTCTGGTCTGTAATCTCCATTCTGCCTTCGCCACTTCCGCTTGAAAGACTGCTTTAGCGCTGTTTTGGTTTCCTTGTAGCTGTGTGGTGGATGAGGATGTGGAAGATTACTTCCAGCTTTTGCCAACACATCTGCTCTCTCATTTCCTTGAATACCAATAAACAATAAACCCTAAAATGAACGTTGATGAGAGAGGACAAATGTTCATGACTAAAGTGCACCATTTTATCCAAGGAATTGCACAGGGTAGAACCAAGAGACAGAATAGACTGCAATACCCATTTAACATACAATGGCACATCAGGGCATTGCTGGTGATGCTGAAATAAAGCAAAACACTGACTAAAAAAAAAAAAAAAACAGAAGCCATTCTACTAGTTAATGTGAATATTACAGTCAAGGTAACGTCTACGTAATGATAGGCATTAACTATAAATAGAGGTTGGCTATTTTTCCGGCTACGTTTTTTTTTCCTCGCATAATTTCCACGTAAATTTATTTCACTACATCGTTGGCTACCGGCTGCTGCTTATTATCTGGGCGAGAGTTCTCGAAACCCCGATGAC